TATGTCGTGCGTACTGAGTCAACTTCTCATATGTGGTTAAGATCAGCGTACGTTGGGCGTACGTGCCAGGTACGCCGCGCGTACACATGCAGAATATAGGCTGAGTTCGGTGCGAGTTTTGGGAGTATTGAGAGAGAAAGAAGGGTGAAGGTGTGAGTTTTGGGAGTGATTTATGCCTCTATATATAAGCTGAGTTTGGTGAGAACGCAGCGCGTTCCCGAAACGAACACAACGCGTTCGCGTTCGTTTCCACGTGTCGCCATCTTGTTCCAAGTCGTGGGGAAGAAAGTGTGGCCCAGATTGCGCCACGTGTCACACGCAGATTACCCCACAAACTAATTATCTTCTAAAATCCGTAACTTTCACATATGAGCTCTGTTATTGACGTTCTTTATATCCACGTGTAAGCGGAACCATGCTCTATAACTTTCGTTTAGACTCTGTCGACTAATTTTGACTTTATTTTTAAAGTTCCATTTTTATCAGGCTGGGACAGGAATAGTCCATCAAAAATTCATAACTACTTCATCCGACGTCCGTTTTCGTTTGTCTTTTTTACCGTTGCGCTACTATTAATGAGATCTTCGATTATCGTTTAGGTTGTGTCGGCCAAAAACCGCTCTGTAACAACCCAAATTTCACGTCCAAAAATTTCATTTTTAATTAATGGATTTGCAAAACGTTTGTAAGTAACAATGTGAAATCATATCATCTCATAAATAATGTAGCATGTTTGAAAACCTAAAAACTGAAAATTATATAATGTCAAAGTACAATCCCAAAATATCTCATAATGCGGAAGGTAACGAGAGTGTGTATGATGTGCAAATACTGCGCCAGCTCCTTCCCCTTTGTTGAAGAGGTACCTGAAACCAAAACTGTAAATCGTAAGCTCAAAGCTTAGTGAGTTCCCTTATCGTACCACATACCATACAATCATATAACATACATACTGTCAGGCAATACTAGGGTGCCCGACCTACCCGGTACGACCATTCTGGGGTGCCAACCTACCCGTGTCAAGTCATTCTGGGGTGCTGACCTACCCATGTCAAGCCATTATGGGGTGCCTAACCTACCATTCGGTCCTAACTGTAACAACCGAAAATTTCAACATAATTTAAACTTTTCAAAACAATCCATTTTAATAACATTATTACAAAAAGGTTTTCATTACATCATTTATCAGAGTATTCCCAGGTCCATTTCATAAAACATAAACGCGAGGAACGGTACGATCATGCCTTTGCCTTGCCACAGTCTCCTGAAGAACCTGAAAAACATTAAACCACAACTGTAAGCCCGAAAGCTTAGTGAGATACCCCCAAAATACCAACCACATATACGCCCTTCCAGGATACGACCTTCCGGTCCAAAACATATCGCCTTCCGGCCCATAACATATTGCCTTCCGGCCCATTGCATAAAAAGCATACATAACATAACAGAACATTGAACAACCATGCATATCGGGTCTACTGTGTGACTGGTCCGCCGTATCGGGCCTTCAGTCCACCGGGCCCACTCTCCGAGTCTAGTCATGTCCTTCGAGTCTACAATGTGGTTGGTCCGCCCGCACCGGGCCTTCAACCCACCTGGACCACTCTCTGAGTCTACAGTATGATTGGTTCGCCCGCATCGGGCCTTCAGTCGGTCTGGTCCACTCTCCGAGCCTCGGCACGTCTGGTCCGCCCTCAAGGGGCCTACAGCCTATCCGGACTGCTCGCTGGGCCTTCGGAACAACCGGTCCGCCCTGGTTATCTTGGCCTACAGCACACAGCAGGACCCGCCTCAACCCATCTCCAGTCCAAACAACCATGTGCACATAACATACAATCATATAACAGTCATAGTCAACAAACCGATCAAGCAGATCACATAACATATCATTACCCTAACCAGGTTACCGACCTAACCGGTCACTAGCATATCATCACTCTACATATCGGGAAACCGACCTTAACCAGGTCTCTAGCATATACCATCCTAGCTACCAGGATGCAGACATATCAAGCAATAACATAATAACCATATATAAATCTTAATCCAACAAAGGGCCGACCTTGGTGCCTTAGACCCTGTCGATATAGTGAGGATAACTCACCTCGCGAATGTCGATACTCTGAACGGAAGAAGCAGACTTTCGAACCACCAACTCACCGCAAATCCCGAACTAACCAACATAACAAGCATAAGCATTAGGTCAAACATACTTCCACTTATCGGGCCAAGACCAAAGTCCAAATCTCACACAAAGTCCAACATTGGCCCAATTTACCAAATTGGGCCCACCTCACCAAATGGGCCTAGATCCAATATCCATAATATTAATTGGGCCCAAAATACTCTATTCATAATTTCCAGGCTTGGCCCAAACACCAACAACCCACAAATGGACCAACACAAAAGCCCAAAAGAAAGTCCACAGGAGGAGTACGCTGGGCGTACTCTCCTTGGTACGCTGGGCGTATTGCAATGATCACCAAAATAAAACGGGGCATTGGCCCGCTATGCGGGGCGTACTTGCAGGTTACGCGGGGCGTAACTGCGAGATCCATTAAGTCCTTTTAACATCTTAATGGCTTAAGCTCTTAAGCCCAAACTTCAGATCCATAGGCCAAATATGATTAGAAATCATAAAGTCTCAGACTTTATCACTTGGGACGTCCTTAAGCTCTTAATCCAAGGTATCACTACTAGAAAAACAGCCTTTTACGACGCTCATTGCGCGTCGTAAAAGGCTCAGACGACGTGCAAATGTGCGTCAAGGAAGGCCATGTCATAAAGAGAGACGACGCGCATTTACGACGCTCATTTACGACGCGCGTTTACGACACGCAATGCGTATCAAGGAAGGCCCTGTCATAAAGGAAGACGACTCGCATTCGCGTGTCGTAACCTTACGACACGCGTGTTAATGACACGCAATGCGTATCAAGAAAGCCCCTGTCAAGAAAGGCCATGTCATAAATGAAGATGACACACATTTTTGCGTATCGTAAATTTAAATGTTTAAAAAAAATTATATATTTATTAATTTTTAAATTAAATTTGCATTTAATTTCTCATAATAGAAATAAATTACTTTTTTTTGATAGATTTACTAATTTTCAAATTAAATAACACATTAAAAGTCTCATAATACAAAATAAAATACCATAAACAATAAAGATAATTCATTGCACTAAGGACCATGTTAACAAAAGAATATAACATTATATACCATAAGTACCCTCAAGTAATCAATCTCTTACAATGTTACTAAAAATACCCTCAAGTAATCAATGTCTTACAAATTTAAGAGACTAAGTTGGTATGTAATATGGCACTAAGAAGCCCAAGAATTGTTTGTGTTTTTCCTGTTCCTGGTGGATCCTACATGGACAAAAGGTAAGAATTAACATTTTCAAAGTACAATGCCTCAATAAGGAAATCAATGGTAAAAGGCAAATCTGAATAAGAACAAACTTTATACATATATACATGGAAGTATTGTAATACACAATAACAACAACAAATACCAAATTACCCTTTGCTTACCTTTTCTTATGGCCACCTCCAAAAGTGAGAATTTGATAAAAGATTTAGGTCACACATTCTCTCATCAAGCTCTGTATCCAAAAGTGAGAATTTGATAAAAGATTTAAAAAGTGGGAAAATATCAAGAATATAGAGGATAATACATTAAGAAAAAAAATTACTCACAAAGAGCAAGTTTCAACCTTCTTCCCCAACAATGTTTCAAAGCAAAAAGCTCATATATATTGATCTCTGCTAAAAGGATATCTATTGTTTGATGATCTTTCTGCAAATTGAAGTACAAAATATATTAGGTATATGATAATAAGGAGAGAATTATATTTTTGTTTTTGTTTTTTATTTTTAATGCTCCTTTCACTGCTGTAATCCAACTCATAACAGGATAAGTAAATAAATAAAAACTAACAGAGATTAATGTTCTCTAAAATGAAGAACATGATATTTGATAAAAGAGAGAGTTAATTCAAAATTGATGGATGTTTACCTTTAAAAAAGGAAAAAAGACCATGAAATATGTATATTCCTGATAGCAGAGAAGGCAATGACAGTGAAAATCTTCATTTATCATGACAGATTACCATCCCCCAATCCTTCTACCCACTTATATACTCTATTGCAACAAACAAAATATATAAAGAATTACCCAAAATGCCCCTCCCATTAATAAGCCCTTTATTCGTAGGATTTTCCCATAATACCCTTATCTAAAATATGTGGCAAGCTTTTTTGGTTAACTCATCAAGTAATTATGTCCAAATTAAGTCAAAAGGAAACAACTATATGTAGCTTTCTGGATTAAGTACTTAACCCATTAAGCCTATTAAGATAAAAAAAAAGAAACAAAGTAAAACTAATAAAATATCATATTATTTTCCATTCAGATTCTATATATATATATATATATATATATATCATTTCACTTTCAAGACTTCAAGTTTTTAAAAAAATAAAAAATGCCAGTTTATAAAACTAAGCAATTTTAAGTTTAATAAAATATGGGAATACAAATCATCAAACTCACATCTGGACTTGTATGGCAATGATTCTTCTCCATTATGTATTCCATGTATCCCATCAAAAACCACACTAGGAGAACTTGTATAGATAAGCCTCTTCACACTAAGTTTAGTACAAGCATCAATTATGTTCTTAGTACTTGTAAATCCAAAAACAAAAGTTAATACTGTCTTAGAAATTAACTAACTATGTTTATTATCTTTCTTTTTACCTGTAATTATTATTATTAAATAATAATTAAAACTTAGGATGTGAACAATAATATATATATCCACGGGACTTCTGTTAGCTAATATTAGTTCATTCACTTAAAGACGGTAACAACCATCATGGATGCCACTTCTGTTAGCCAAACCCCTTGGAGTTCTAACATCAACTTCAAGAGGGTAACAACCTGAACTTTGTTTTATGATATCTACTAATGCATATATAACAGATTTTTTTTACCCTGAAGCATCAAGTGCTTCCATGGTTTCCTTTTTGTGCTCCTTCAAACCACAAATGAGCAGTGAAATTCCCCTAACTCTCACTATATGAATACCTTGAAGAATCAAACCCAAGAGAAATAGCTAGATAGTTCTGAGTACAACCATGTGGGAATACTACCACTAAAATCTGTGAAATAGTCTGCACAAAGAGAAAAAGTATGCACATAAATGATTAAAGCTGGAATATTTTCTTACTGCAATCAAGCTAGTATAGTTCATGAGTTCATCTGTGTCAAGGACTTTAGTCCTAAAGGCAACGCCTTCCAAGGACATGGGAACAAGTTTGACTTCAACAAGACGTAAGAAAGCCATTTTTTCAGCCACCTGAACACAAAAGGTAGTGTGGTATTAGAAGAAAAAAGAATGATGTCATTGAACGTGAGTTTCTTATACCTTCTGCCAGTCAACAAAGTCAATGAGTTCAGGGTCCATGGTTTCTTTTGCAGCTATTTGAAGTATTTTTCCCCATCTTGTTTCTCAAACCTGCATGATCAGAAGGGGAATTCTTGAATGGAATCAAAAATTAATTAACTATAACAATTATTTAACTATAACTAAACTTTTATTATACTTCAAATGATTACAAACCAAGTAAGCAACAAGACCGAGAAAAATGTTTCAAAAAAAAGTTGAAAATTATATGGCATGGGACAGGGGAATTTTAGGCATGAGAGAGAGCTTGATGATTTCCCAAATGCCCCTGATTCTCTTTACTTGATGATTTCCCAAATGCCCCTGATTCTCTTTACTGTGATAATATAATTCGATAACTTATAATTCAAAACAAACCAATTAGCATAAAGAGAGAGCTTACCGGTGGAGTACTTACATTTAACATAGAACAAAGATTTCAAGCAAATAGATTTAAAAAAAAAGATTCAAATCATATCCCAACATCAGATTTCATCATGGGATTTTAGCAAATATATTTCAGCAAGTATGTTTGTTTCAACAGTTCATTAGTAAACATTTCAACACAAAAAATTAAAGGCAGCAAAATGAATTCAACTAGGATGTTTTATCTCAAGATGAAAATTCCAGCAGAGCAACATAAGATCGACCAACATAAAAACGATTCAATCAGACAAGTATCTGTTGCATCAAGAAAATATAATTATTCAAAATCAACAACCAATCACTTTCTGTTGAAGCATATATACACACAATTCGGAAACAAATCAATCAAACCTACATACATTTAGTCCATAGCTCCAAGTCTAGAATCTTTTTATTTGGATTTTTCATGTTGGGGAAAAGGAATACCTGTAAACAACCCATTTCATATCAATACAGATCATTAACCTAGGATTTTATTGTAGATGGTGAGGCTTAAAGGCAAAACAAGTGTTATTAGTGTCCTCAAAGAAATTTTCTTTAACCCTATTAGAGGAATCCAAGAACATCATGGAGCTTCTACCATTACCATTTGGAACAAATTGGAACTTTCCAGTAGTTGGAGATGGTTGAACCTACAACAGAAAGGATCATTTAGTATAGTAAATTACTAATATACCCCTAGTTTTTCTAGTGAGCTTACCAATGAGTTGGAAAGGAAAACAGGTGATTCCAGAAAAGAAGTTGGGCTAACACCAGGTGAAAATAAATATGGAGATTGTTGAGTTTGTGAATTATCAGAAGATTTTATAATCTCTGTATTCAACCTAGGAGCATTATGACCAGCACTAGCTGCCATTCTTTCAACAAGAGGTGCCCTTGAGCTCGTTTTTTGATCACCAAACTCACTTGATTTTGTCGCATCGCAATTTTCAGACCCGATTTGGGGATTTGGTCCAGGGAAAGTGAACCCGGTGTCGTTATTGGTATCGTTTTTTGGAGGGTCGGGTACTGATCTTGAACCAGGATCATCCCCCAACACAACTGCAAAAAAAGACCTAGGGCTAGGGCTCGAAGGCATCCAATCGCCAATTATCCCACCATGATCGTCAAAACCACCCATGAAAATCGAAAGCTTTCTTCCTTGATTATCTGTTCAGTGGTTTGTTAGTTTTTCAGACTTTGAAATTTCACACAAAATCGAAACAGTGATGATGGTGTTTTATGTACGAAATCGTAGTGTTTTGGTCGTGTTTTTTTGGAATCGTCAAGCTTTAAACAGTAATGATAGTGTTTTTATGTACGAATTAATCGATTGCGAAATAACAACAACAAATAAATGTACAGATTTAATTTCCGCTTTTGGTAAAACGATAAACCAAAAAAACATTTGAATCGTCTACCCGATTGAAGTGGGTAGACCACAATAATAGAAGATAATATAGTTTTTCTAAAATGGGAATCGAAAATCGATGATATTCAAACATTCGCTTTTCACATATTCTCGTGGATTAACCCCAATTTTGCAATCCCGAACCAATAATCGATATCCGAAAATGATCTAGTTAAAGGGAATTCATTAAAACCAGAGATCTGAATGGGATTGCAAAATCCAACCAACTTCAAATCAAATCTATCATTTCTTTCACACGAACAATTAAGGGTATAAACTACAGAAACTAAAATTGGAAATCCAGTTGAAGAATCGATGGAATGATTGAAAAAACATGATTAAGGGTTGTGATACGAACCTGGAAAACAACACACAGACAGTCAAGGGTAAGCTGATAACAAAGGAGACCCTTTTGTCTCCTCTGATTAGTTGATTCTCTGTGATTAACAGACCACAACGCAGAGCACACGTCTCTAGGTCCTAAAACATACATTTGGCAAATTAGATCTAACTGATAGACCATGGGAAGGAAAGAATTTGGAGATGTGGAGGACATCAGTCGGCCGAGCAAGTCGACAACTGTTGTTGAGAAGTGTCGAGATAAAGATAAGGTCGGTCATGTAAACAAAAACATACCTTAATCGTACTTAGGGCTTGCAAATTTGAGCAGTCGTTGTAGTCTCTGGTGACGTGAGGTGAGCCCGAGGTCGCTGGTGGAAAGAGATGAGCCGAGGTCGCCGGTGGAAAGAGATGAGCCGAGGTCGCCAATAGGAGGTGAGGTGAGGGAGCGAACATTACAGAGAGCATTCCTTGAAAAAGCCCTAGATAATGGTCCCTGCAATGGCGGGGTCTTCAACTTTTCTAATTTTTTTGAACACGAGGTTTTAGATTTGGTCGACGCCATTAATGAGGAGACCTCGCATATCAATTATGATTCACCTTCGCTTTATCTTCTTGTTCTCCTCTTGATGATTTCAGACTCCGTCTCTACGACTTTACATGATATTTTTTAGAAAGGAGTCTTTGTGGAGCATCAGGGTTTTTCTTTATTTCATAACCCTCGCATGTACTGGGTTGAGAGAAAACGAGAGAAGCGGAAGCTTGGAAGAAAATAAAACCCTAGCACGTGCTAGAGAGAAGGGAGGTGGCGATGGCTTAGGGTTTACAGAGAGACGGGAGGTAGAGAATGAAAGGAGAACTAGAGGAGAGAGTATCAGAGAGGGGAGAGTGGATTGCAAGGATGAAAGATAGATAGAAGAAAGAAAAAACGAGGCGGGTTTTCAAAATTTTGGAGATTCCGTTTCCCCCCTTGTCTACTAAATTATAAAGCAACAGCTACAGACGATGCGCGTTTAAGATAAAGCGCCCTCCGTGTTTTTAATTTTTTTTTTCTTGAGACACTAAATTAAGGGCACTCAATAATGCGTGACGTAAATCCTTAAATTTTTTGGAGAGATGATACTATTTTAAGGGCACATCCTTTTCCGTATCATTAATCAGTGCGTGTCGTAAAAAGCACGTCATTAAAGGTCATTTTTCTAGTAGTGTATTAATCCATTAAGACCTATATAACTCATACATGGAACAACTACAGCCCTTAGGACCTCATTTTTATCACTCAAGACCTCTCCAAAGGTCTGAAAGGACAGATAATCTTGACCAAATCAAACTATGCAACAAGATGAGGACTTTTGGGATAAGAATGATAACAAAGCTTCAAAATACATATATCTATGCAATATGGAGGTCAAGCAAGAAGCTTTATACCTTAAACCAGCTCCAAAGGGTGGTATTTCTTCAGATCTAGAAGCTCCACATGTTCTTTTTCTTCTTTGACAACTTCCCTTTTCTCCTTCAATCCTTTCTTTTGCCAACAAGAGCTTTCCAAGGTCAAACACACTCAAATATGGAGGGAATACGAGATTTAGGGTTTCTCTAAGGTTGAAGATGAGCATAAGGAGGCTGAGGGGTGAACCAACATGTTCCTTATATAATGGCTGACCCTAAAAATAGGGCTTGGGGTTTCTGAGAGTACGCTAGGCGTACCTCCCTGGTACACTGGGCGTACTCACCCGGCCACCCGCAACATTTCGATCCTTTACGTTGGGCGTACGTCCAGCTTACGCTGGGCGTACCCAGCCACCCTTCAAAATCAAAAGCATGCATGCATGGGACCATTTCTTTCTTATTCCACAAAGGACTATAAACAATGATCAACTTCGAGGCAATGCAACTCCTCTAATCTAAACCCACTCTCAAATAACTTACATTCATATGAGGGCGACGAAAAGCCCAATACTTCTAACACATATACCCGCCCAAAACCTTCTCGAATGAAACTCATTTCTCGAAAAGAACAAGAATTACCTTTCCTCTTAAATCTCAGTGACTCATAATTAACACTTAAAGAACAGGGTGTTACAATTCTCCCTCACTTAAATTAGGCTTCGTCCTCGAAGCCTGCGATTACTCTACTCCGAAACTATCCCTGCAATGATCCGCCTGGCACTCACCGGACCAGGCTATCCAAGACTCGACCATCGAAGTCCGAAACCCAACTTTACCTTTCTTATCGATAGGATGAAACAAGCTTCAGCCCTAGAGCAACTCTCACGAGTTCTCCACCGCAATCTCATACCCGCACCAATTTGGCTCTAGTGTCCTCGGGTTAAGAAAACCCCGATACACTGCTGACACTTCCAAACACCCTTCCGGATGCATTTTTACCACATAAACAAATCTATTTGGAATTCGAAATTCCATCCATGCATTCTTGCCGAGCCTTAGCAACCATCCAACCCAGATGTGCTCCATACCACTGCCGAAATCTCGTTACTCAATGACCATAATTGGACCACTCCCATCGTAACCCTACGCTGCTACTTCCACTTCCGAGGATTTACATTCCCTTAGCATGACCGCTAACCATGCGACATACGTGTCCTGAGCCTGCTTGCAAGGACCCTCGAGTCCATGCACCACCTCCACTACTCACAATCAATACCCGGGGCCAGACCTTCTAATGCTAACACATCACTGTTGGATAAGGTGTCTAAGTCCATAACTATTTCTGGTATGTACTTGACCCGACCCGGCATGGTCCATTTGGGTTGCATGGCACCATGCAATTGGATAGACTAAATGAGAGAAATAACACTTGGAGATTATTAATATATTATAAGTTCTAATATATTAATAATATTATTTGATTAGTTTGATCAAGAATTAATTTAGAATTAATTATGTGATCAAAAGATAACTAATTAAATATATGGGTTGATTATGTAAATCATCCATATCTTGTATAGTGGGCTAAGAGGCTCCATGGATTATCAAGTTGGGTTCCACCCATAGGATGCTCCATGGATGCTCCATGGGAGTTACAAACCCATGGGTCATGGAAATGAAGAGTCATGACACATTAGGGTTTAACCCTAGATGTGTCAACACTATATAAGTAACATGTTCTCCACCTAAAATCGGCTACACTAAGAAACAAGAGGGCTTGGCCGATTTTGAGAAGTGTGTGTTCTCTCATAAGTTCTTCCAAGAGCATTTGGTGTTGTGTGAAGCATTTGAGGCATCACACTTGGGGTGCTAGGCTCACAAGGTTTCAAGGAACACAAACAACAACAAGGTAAGTTATTCTATCTATACTTTAAGTTAAAATTGTTCCCCATGTATGCTAGATAGGAATATAACCTTGGAATTCAACTTTGCATGATAATTAGACAAACATAGATCCAAGGTTATTAGGGTTGCATGTACACTTAGGAAGTGTTAGAATGCTCAAAACCCATCAGTGGTATCAGAGCCTAGGCTTGTTTGCTTTTTATTTGTGCTTAAAAGTTGAAAAAAGTCGAAAATCTTGCTGTCACGAATGGACTCGTCGAGTCCATAAGGGGACTCGTCGAGTTCATGTGTATCTTCAACCAACTCGGCGAGTAAGTTCATGCACTCGGCGAGTAGGGTCGACTGGTTGCAGAATTTCGACTTTAGTTGCTGGAAATGAATTAGAAACATTACCCTAAACTTTTTGGTACTTGAAAACTTGTTTTGGTGGTGTAATGTCTTTGCTAATTCATTTACAACAACTAGTTATCAAAATTACAAAGTTTTAAGTGTAATTTAGATTTATGAATGTGTTCATATTCATGTTCTTGTTCTTATGATGTTTTAGATGATCATAGGAATTATTTGTAACCTATGTGGTAGATTAATTCTTGATCATAATGTGTTTTAATGGAGTCCATAACTTGTCCTCAAGTTATGGAAAACCAAGAGTCACACTTGAATTAAAACCATTAAAACAAACACAAGAGTTAGAAAAATGAAGAGTCTTCATTTTATTACTCTATTAAACTCATAAGTTACAAGAAATGAAAAGTTTTGAAAGTTACAAAACTTGCCCTCAAGTTTTGGAACAAGTAAAGTTAAGTTAAAACTTTAAGTTCCAACCCCTAGAATTTTAAAAGTTAAAATTCAACCCTTATACTTATATTATGATGATTTAATAATTATATATATGTATAAGAACAAAGTCGTCTTACCGCTAGTACGCCTCATTCACGAAGCCGGTCTATAAGGTGGGTATAAGGTTGTTGCCTATAAAATGGTGACTTAATGGGTGTCTACTCTCACCCACCGCTTGCTTGACTGGTGGAGGGTCGTTAGCCGAACGGGTAAGACAAGGACTTATAAATTCTCATTCAAAGTATGATGAATATATA